CCGCTACTACTACTACTACTATTACCACTGCTACTACCACTATTACTACTACTACTACTACTACTACTACTACTACTACTACTACTACTACTACTACTACTACCACTACTACTACTACTACTACTACTACTACTACTACTACTACTACTACTATTACCACTACTACTACTACTACTACTATTACTACTACTACTACTACTACTACTATTACCACTACTACTACTACTACCACTATTACCACTACTACTACTACTACTACTATTACTACTACTACTATTACCACTACTACTACTACTACTACTATTACCACTACTACCACCACTACTAACCCCTCTTGTTGTTTAGCTGTCTCAGAAGATGGAGTGCACACATGTAGCATAAACAAAGCATGTTGCTGGTTGACCATGGGGAGGCATCAGCCAGCCGATGTGTGGTGCCTAAATATTTTGCCAGATGTTGTACTTTGGATTTGATTTGATTATTTTCTCATTCAGATTCTGAATGTGACCTTCATGACGGAGGCAGAAATGCGTGGTGATACATTACCAAAGTAACGGTAACGTGTGTGTGTGTGTGTGCGCGTGCGTGTGCTGCAGTTGGAGAAGGAGAGCTCCAGTTCAGAGCCCTACCTGTGTGTGTCTGATTTCGTTGCCCCTGCAGACAGCGGCGTAACAGACTACATCGGCGTGTTCGCTGTGGGCGTGTTTGGAGCCGAGGAGCTGAGTCAGCAGTTCCAGGCTCAGGGAGACGACTACAGCAGCATCATGGTCAAAGCCCTGGCTGACCGACTGGCAGAGGTACAGTAGGGACAGCTTTTTTAACTGTTGCTGATGCGGTGTTTTCTTTGGTCTCTGATACAACCTGCTGTTCGTCCTCCAGGCCTTTGCCGAGGAGCTCCATGCTCGCGTGCGCAAGGAGCTGTGGGGCTACAGCACGGACGAGGCTCTGCAGGCCTCAGACCTCCACAGAATTCGATACCAGGGCATCAGACCTGCAGCTGGCTACCCCAGTCAGCCTGACCACACAGAGAAGTCCACCATGTGGAGCCTGGCTGGGATCCAGGAGAAGACCGGTGAGAGCATCAGGCATTTTACTGTCATAACTGCAGCTGAAAGCCTCCCAATGCTGTGTTACTGTTTGTCCCATGAGGCACGGGTCAAACTATCTATAAGTAGTGAAAAAAGTCAGTAAGAATAAACCATGAAATCCTACCCACACACACTGCTGCTTGGTGGGTTGAACTGTACTTTAGGTGGAAGCTCACTGGTCACATGTAATGTAAACAGTACGTGTTAAAACGTGAGGTCGACACATTAATGCTAGTGAATAGAATAATACAACCAATCTAGTCTTAATTTAGAGAAATTGAATCCTTTGTGTTCTTTTGATAGTTTGTATTAACTTTGATATGATTATTTATGGATCAAGTAAATGCACATTTAATTAATCAATTTATAATAGCTTTTTGCAAATTCATATATTAATAGACTGTTATATGAGAACTTAAGTCTATAATGTTTCTGCTGACACACTCTTGGACTTAATGTTCACATTAGTGCATTCTAGCGTTGGCACTAAGTTGATACAATGCTTATCATGTGGTGGCTCTGCACCCTGAGAGTCAAGTAGAATCATGTGTAAGTGACCCCTCGGTCTACATGAAATTCTTCTTCTTCAGCCTCTCCAGCTCGAACGAGATAGTGGTGGTCGAGTGAGCTAGAGAGTGATGGAAGAGAGGGACCGGCGTTAGTGAGAACAAAGCTGTGAATCGGAAGAATATAATGTGTATTTTATCTGATTGTTTAATGGCGGTTATGTTCTAAAGCACAACTATACACATCCACACCTCCTCACAAACCTACGGGAAGGTGCCAGATTTTGAATGAATGCAGCCCAAGGCCCGCTTCACCCTGCTGTGGTCCGTCTGTGTGAGGCCTGTGAGATCTGTGTGCCTCGGTATGCTGAGGGGCGTGACCAAGCAGCAGCGTTTGACCTGGGAATGAGAGCGGGCTGCACACCCTGCTTATCGGCTGGGGGGTTGCACCCCCACGTGGGGTCCAAAGTTTTTTGCTGACGCCAAGAAAAGTCCAGCACACAGTCAAATATGAAAGAAAAGAGAAAATACAGACAGAGGGCAGGGTCTCTGAAGATTCACAGCCACACACTTCTACTCGCCTCCATCTGAAGGCACTGTGTACAGTCTACTGTACATCAGCCTGTCATTGCATCTCCCTAACTATCAGTCACGCTGTGTGATCGTTGTCTGTTAGATGATGCTGGCTCAGACAAGCTGCTGCCACACTCCTCAAGTGATCGTGGCCTCAGGACGTGTCGTTGGATCCTAGTGTAGTCCAGATGGAAAGGTTTATGTCTCCATGCAGGTTCCTACTGTACATATTGACCATAAAACACCAGACGCTCATTTTAAGGTAATATTATAAATGATAATAATCTCAGTTTAAATTCTTCTATATTTTATTTCACATTAGCGATGGATCAGATGATTGATGTGGAAAGGGTGTCTCTTTGAAAACAGGGTTTAGATTCATCAGGTGGACACAAACCCAATTCCAATTGAATGCTTATGTTGCTGCTGAATATGTAAATAGGCCGCTGTCTGCTAACATATTCACCACAACGGTTTGAGACGGTGATGGTGTGTTCATGTGTTTAGAGCTCGTTCTGCGCCCCCAACCGGCAAAACCAATTTTCTTCTGGGCAGCATCATCTCTTTGAGAAAAATAAATATTTGACTGTCTTAACCAGTTTGAATCACATTGGATTGCTCTCTACACACAGGTGGAGAACTGTTTTTATCATACCTCGACCTAAGTCATTTAACTGTGACTGTATATTTATAAAGCTGTAACATCACCATTGCAACAACTGTCATTTTTGTTCAACAATGACTGACAGACAACAAAACAACACAACTTTGAACAATAACCCACATCTTAACGCACCAACAAGGACATTTCTTGTCTTGTTGAAGGAACTGCCGAACAAAGCTCTTCCAGGGAAAAGTGGATAGTTAGCGTATGGATTATTAAACCTTTAACGACTCCCCTCTAGAGGTCAACATCGTTCAGTTTTGAAGATAAATGTTGAGGTCCTTATTCTTCAGCACCACCACTAACATAACACTGTCTTAGCTCATAAGCCACAGCTACCAGTGAACCTCCTCATCAAACCTGGACCACCTGATTTGGTGTGAATACCGGATTAGCTTCTAAAGGAGCCTTTCTCATTTTTACCTAAAGGCCTTTTTCTGGTCAATTTGAAAACCTCTGAGATGATTCTTGACCGACATTGTGGGAACATTTTTGTTTTAATGTCATTGAGGTACAAGCTTCTATTTTTAGGCATGTTTTAATTACAGATCAACTGCAGATAAATCACTTTTAGTGGAGAGATGAGATGAGGCACGTTTATTTGTATAGCTCATTTCAACAACAAGGCAGTTCAGAGTGATTCACATAAAAGCATCAAAACATAAGTCAAAAGAGACCAGAGAGACCAAGATCCAACGAAAGTCCCGAGCCAGATTGTGGTTCATGGTTGGCAGTGGGAGGATTCGCAATCAGGCCCCAACAGCAGCCAGGTGTTATTCTTGTCTATTGGAAATAAAGTTAGTTCATGTGAGGGCTGAGCCATATGGACAAAATCAAATATCACAATATTTTTTAACAAATCCCTCGATTATTTGGCTGCATGCAGTCAGACAATTAGAAAAGCAAAGATATATTGATATTGTAATGATATTGTAGGGTTGACTGTTTTGAAAAAATATTTCCAAAATGAGATTTTTGATAATCTGTGATGGGGTTATATAAGAAATGAAGTGGGTAAAGGCAAATAATAGGACAGCTAGAGCACTCTGACAAGTTCATCAAATAACACAACTTTACTGTAATAAAACCAAGAAAAGACCACACCTATGTCATATTACCATATCCAAAATCTAAGTCTAACATCACCAGAGCAATATAATATCAATATATTGCTCAGCCCTAGTTCGTCATGTTTTTCACTAAGCAGGTTAGGTCTGCGTTAATAGACACTACTAATCATTTTATGGAAATTCATTACCAAAGAGACAATTTACGGCTTTAATCGAATGAGACCAAAAGGCTCATAAAGGCTGTCGGATGGAACAGAGAGAGGAAGTCATTTAGACTGAACATGTTTCTGTTAAGGCTAACAACAATAAAGTGTGATTACAAAACACACTGACCTTCCACTTTTATGTCATTTTGTTTTCTTGGCTGTGTGTGCATACAGTAACAACGTAGGTGTGTGTGTGTGTGTAGGTATTCTTCTGACAGAGTCGCTGGCCATGATGCCCGCTGCCTCGGTGTCTGGACTTTACTTCTCCAACCCTAAGGCCTCGTACTTCGCTGTGGGAAAGATCACCAAGGAGCAGGTTCGGCTAACTGTCCACATCTTTAACTGCTGAAAGATAACTCAAGAAAATGTTGCCACTGATAATGAGATATCCCGCTAGCGCCGTAACTCCCCAATACTATGCCATCACGCTGGGCGCTTTAGATGTTGCTGTTTTGTGAGTCCTCGGCTGACATTGAGCAAGTTGGAACTGGATTACAAATCTCTTCGTCTTTATTTAGAGAAATGAAATACCAGCCTGGACGACAAGGTTATGATTTAAGTGTAACATTAATATTGTATCCATACAATGACTAAAATATTGTACATACAATGATTATAGTATACAACCAGGCGGCAACCTCCGGGTCTGAAAAGTGAAGCCAATCTCTCTAATGACCATCGGGGGGGTAAATAAAGCAGGGTATGCTTTAGGGCGGGGCTACCTTGTGATTGACGAGTCTCTACCACGGTGTTGTGCAGTCTGAGATGTCCGTGTTTTCAGCCTTAGAACTTTAACCCCTTCACAGTGTGTCTTCACTTCATGAAAGTTGAATGTAACCGTCGCCTTAAAATGTCTTTCTCTGTGTTCGGTTGGACTGGCAAAGAAACAAGATGGTGTTGGTCAAAATACGGAACCCGAGGCGTCTGAACCGTAGTCCACAAACAGTTTGAGTTGTGCTATCAACAGTATTACAGATCTCTCTTTTATTATATTGTTTTCTTGAGGAAAATGCTTTTTGGCCGCTTCAATAACAAGATTTGCTGCTTTTTATTTTACATCCATGGCTGAAGAAAAATAGTTTGTTAGCTTACCAGACCACTGTAGCCTGTGGTCACATTGGTTGCATAGTGGGTAATGTAGGCAGTAAAAGAATGCGGAGCAAAGAATGACTTTGTGTTCTGATGCATGGAGTTCAACCTCTTTCTAAAACTGATATAGTCCAACAATGTTACAGCAGTGCAGCGCTACATCCCTGGAGTGCTCTTAAGTCACTATAGAGACGAATCTCACTAATAATTGAGAAAGGATTCAAACTAGGATTTCACTTGAAATTCTAGCAAATACTTTAGAGGAGGATTAGTGACAGGAAGGACACACAATCCGGCAGAACTTGTATGGTCTCTGCTCTTGTCTTCAGGTGGAGGACTACGCCGGAAGGAAGGAGATGTGTGTGGAGGAGGCGGAGAGGTGGCTGGGGCCCATACTGGGCTACGACAGCGAGGCGTAGAGTGTGACCACTCCAGCAGTAAAGTGGACCAACACAGTATCAGGTTGACAGTCCGACCGATCTGCTGGAGCCCACACAGGTCCTCACTGCGGCTGCTTCCACATGGCAGTACAACTGCTGCTTCAGTGCTCTTGTGCCAGCAGGTTATGACAAACCTACTACTACTATGCACATGCTCACATGATGTATGAAATGATCTCTGAAATACATTCAACGTTTAATAACGGAGGGATTCTCTTAGCTCTACAAATGGAGTGAAATAATCTGTTGGTGTTACATCACAGTCACGTGTGTCTTCTTTAGCACTTCATCGATCACGCTAAAACGATCATCGCCATTATTTTTGCTCAATGTTGAGATCATTATTGTTTTAGCACTTAGCCCTGTGCTGGGCCGGCATTGGTCAAAGTCTACATGGTTACTGATGCTCCAATATGCAGATTATTAAACATTTTAAAAGATTTTATACATCATTAGTTCAGATTAGTTCAGTATTTGAATCTGAGGTTCCACTTTTTCATTGGCTGGTTTGTTAATATTATTCATTTTGTCATTTCTGGGGGGGATTGTAGAAGCGATGCAGAGGATCTGTAAAGTATGACAAATGTATCGATAAATATGAATTCTTTCTTGATGTTTTTAATCAAGCAATATGTAAGTTCTCTATCAACATCCACACATTGTTTACATGTTACCAGGTATTGTAATTGTTGTATTGTGTGTGTGTGTGTGTGTGTGTACTAAACAACCCATCTACTCATTCAGACTAAGTGTTCAAATTCAATTAGGGTTTCTGTAAAATGCTGACTGCATGCATTTCACACGTGTCTTAAGCCCTGATGTGCTGCAGCGTTTGATCTCAGTCTGTATGAAACTGTCTTAATCACTTTCCTCTTCTTATATTGAAAAAATAAGTTGTGGATAAATAATGGTGGCATTGCAAACAATGTAAAACATGAGCAATAGAACTGGTTTTTTTCTGTTTTTTTTTAAATAAATCAATTCAACACATTTCTGTTTATCTCTCTGAGTTTATATCTCCAGTCCACCATAAAGAAGATCAATGTAGATGTTATCTCGGGGCATCTAACAGTTTAATGTCTTCTGTAGCTCTGGAGGAGCTCTGTCTAATCTGAACAATTTAAAATCGGGGCCATGGAATTTGAAAGATTTCACAAGAACTCGCACACAAAAAGCCCTATAGGTAAGAGGGAAATGTTGGGGTGAACTGTCCTAACAGCATGAAAATGTCTACTTGCATGTTCGGTTTTATGATCGATATTCCAGCAGCGGACTCGAGTTCTACAGAATCCCGACAGGATCACGACCCTTTCAGATCAACAGGTGTTTTAGTTTAAGGAGTGACCGTGTCAACTGGTGACTTTCAGCTGAATGCGTTCACGGTTGTTCGTAATAACTTAAGACAATCAATGGAATGGATAACAAACGCATAAGTATTTAAAAATGATTGAATGCTTATGTTTTCAACAGCTGCCGTTTGCAACCAGTTAACACGGTCACTCGTTAAACTGAAACACGCCTATGGCTGCAATTTACTTCACGCGTTGACTACCACTGGACTGATCTAAATGCTGCTGTTTAAGCGCCCACTTTTAAACTCACTGTTAGCGCAAGCACCCGGCTCAGCAGTTGCCATGTTGAGAGCCGTGTGGATGCAATACTCTAAATTGCGTATTGACTACCGTTAAGTGTTTAGACCTTCATGTTGGGAAATAAATGTAACATAAAAAATGTAACCGTTGAATAAAAAAATAAAATGGCTCTTTTATTGATCGAGTAGTGAGGTAGTGTCCATATAATCTCTATTTCCCCAGACACTTCTGAAGCTTTCTGCTGCGGTCTGAAAGGGCCGCTGAGTGTGTAGTCGACAGAAGCACTACCGTACAACAGACACACCAGTGCTCCTACTGATGACTGCTGCAGGGAAGACATGAGGCAAGTTTTGTGTTTACTTGATGGAAAGGTCACGGCCACGGACACACAATATGCTACAGTGTACGCATGCAGTAGCCTACATTGGTGCAAGGCAGGTGGACAAGTGCATGATTGTAGCTTATAACAAATATTATTTATTACATGATTTAACTAGTATATAATTTATATTTGGCCTTAACATATTTATAATGTATAATATATATATATTTTATTTATTATACATTATATATATATATATAATGTATAATATAATATACTGTATATATATTATTTTTTATATTAATAGCACTTGGAATTAAGTTGTAAATGTAAAAAAAAAAAAAAAAACAACACTGTCCATGGCAGAAATGAGCTTCAGTACATAACAGAGAGAGAGAGATGAGAGAGGGAGAGATGAGAGAGGGAGAGATGTGAGAGAGAGAGAGAGATGAGAGAGAGAGGAGAGAGAGAGGAGAGAGAGGAGCGAGGAGAGAGAGAGGGAGAGATGAGAGAGAGAAGTGAGAGAGAGAGAGAGATGAGAGAGGGAGAGATGAGAGAGAGATGTGAGAGAGAGAGAGAGATGAGAGAGGAGAGAGAGAGAGGAGAGAGAGAGATGAGAGAGAGGAGAGAAGAGAGAGGAGAGAGAGAGAGATGAGCGAGGAGAGAGAGAGAGGAGAGAGAGAGATGAGAGAGAGGAGAGAAGAGAGAGGAGAGAGAGAGAGATGAGCGAGGAGAGAGAGAGAGATGAGAGAGGGAGAGATGAGAGATGTGAGAGAGAGAGAGAGAGATGAGAGAAGAGAGAGGAGAGAGAGAGAGGAGAGAGGAGAGAGAGAGAGATGAGAGGAGAGAGAGATGAGAGGAGAGAGATGAGAGAGAGATGAGAGAGATGAGAGAAGAGATTGGCGAGAGAGAGAGAGAGAGAGAGATGAGAGAGATGAGAGAGAGAGAGATGAGAGAGAGAGATGAGAGAGAGATGAGAGAGGAGAGAGAGAGATGAGAGAGAGATGAGAGATAGAGAGATGAGAGAGATGAGAGAGAGAGATGAGAGAGATGAGAGAGAGAGATGAGCGAGAGAGATGAGAGGAGAGAGAGATGAGAGATAGAGGTGTGAGAGAGAGAGATGAGAGGAG